GTTATGATTATTTTCGTTTAAGTTTAAAGGTAATTTAATTCTGAAGTCTGAAGGCGTCGCGTTTTCGCTTAATTTGAACATCGCAATTAATCCGAGTGACAAGATATGCCCTCTCGCGCGAAGGGTAGATATTTTTAGACCCGGCTCGAAGGAAAAGTCAGGGAATGTTACATAATGTTGTTAAAATTCGAAAAATAAATTTGCCACATAAATTTATACGCGTTTTTAGCTGCGTATCTTAATAAACTAATTTTCAATTAAAAAAAATACGTAGTGCCAGCTGAGGTTTGTAACACAAAATACGTTTGTATTTTTTTACGACCACACACTTTCCAGAATTAAATTTCAGAGATTAATGTTCGACTTAATGTTTGGATATTGTTGGAAACGCATTTAAATCATACTTAAAAAATTTAGAATGTGTTTTGTTTTCGTTTGTCAGCTGTTGTTTTCGGAATGACACCGACATTTACAAATTCCAGTTGGCTTTGAAAATCGGTATAGATTTTCTGCAATAATTGCTTAAATACTGTTGTCTGAAGGCACAAATTTCTATCCACCCAAAAAAATGTGCAATAAGTAATTTTACGCGAATACAATTTATCTAAAAACGAGGCTAGTTATTTTATTATATTTTAAACAATCGAAAAGTCACGTAATTTCAGTAGCTGTATGTTTATTTTAAGTTTTCATAAATTTCGTTTTCCAACAAATAACAAAATGCAAAACAGTCGTATTTGTTTTTGTTTCCCGTTAAATTGTAAGAAATTCCCATTGTTAATTTTAACACGAGCTGGGAATTTTTAAATATGTTCAAAACACGTCAGACAGAACAATCCTTAGACGCTAACAATTCCTACACGTGTAGGATATGAGAGGAATAATTTCCCAAACGATTTTCACCAGAAATTTGAAAGTTGTAATAAAATTCCTATAGAATACAGTTGTGGACAAAAAAAGGTTGCCGATATGCCGATCTAAATACAGTTCCGTCACCGATAACGACCTATTATCATGAATTGCCTTCATATTCTGACTTTGGCCTTCGACCGTGTCTGGATTACTAAAACACCTCTATAAAGATTATTTTTTTAATCATCTGCGGTACGGTTCTTGCTTCTATCGGCGATCGCGATACCCCCGCCACGTACGGAGAGCTCTTCCAGTCACGTAACGAGAAGATTAATATGCACAACGATAATTTACGGCGCCCGTCTCTCGCCGATCCAAAACACATCCCAGGGTTCTAATTTTAAATAAGAAATCGCGTAAATGTCGATCGGCGATCCACCTGCTCGCGGCGAAAATAACCGGAACAGGTGCCCTATCGCTTAAAATCTTGCCCACAAATCCTCCCGACTCCTATTTAGAGAGATAAATCAACCTGACACTGTTCTGACACCGTTATCGCGGCTAGAGACGCACCTGTCGGGGGATATTAGTCACGGGACTAGGAAAAACATGAAATTATTGAGAAATTAACGAAATGGTGGCGTTTTATCCGAAAATATATAAAAAATTTGTGCGAGGGTCGACGTTCCATCGCAGTCCTTGGTAGGTCCGCAGCGATCGTATAGCAAAGTCCGTCTTGATTTGAACGTTTGGCCCTTTCGAATTTTCTCATTTTTCGAAATCCGAAACCGAGGTGAATTTTGTATTTCTGCAGCAAATTATTGAGAAATTAACGAAATGGTGGCGTTTTATCCGAAAATATATAAAAAATTTGTGTGAGGTACTAAGGTCGACGTTCGATCGCAGTCCTTGGTAGGTCCGCAGCGATCGTATAGCAAAGTCCGTCTTGGCTTGAACTTTTGGCCCTTTCGAATTTTCTCATTTTTCAAAATCCGAAACTGAGGTGAATTTTGTATTTCTGCAGCAAATTATTGAGAAATTAACGAAATGGTGGCGTTTTATCCGAAAATATATAAAAAATTTGTGCGAGGTACTAGGGTCGACGTTCGATCGCAGCCCTTGGTAGGTCCGCAGCGATCGTATAACAAAGTCCGTCTTGATTTGAACATTTGGCCCTTTCGAATTTTCTCATTTTTCGAAATTCGAAACCGAGGTGAATTTTGTATTTNCCCTATCGCTTAAATTCTTGCTCGCAAATCCTCCTATTTAGAGAGATAAATCAACCTGACACTGTTCTGACACCGTTATCGCCGTTAGAGACGCACCTGTCAGAGGATATTAGTCACGGGACTAGGAAAGACATGAAATTATTGAGAAATTAACGAAATGATGACGTTTTATCCGTATAAAAAATCTGTGCGAGGGTCGACGTTCGATCGCAGTCCTTGGTAGGTTCGCAGCAATCGTATAGCAAAGTCCGTCTTGATTTGAACGTTTGGCCCTTTCGAATTTTCTCATTTTTCGAAAACCGAAACCGAGGTGAATTTTGTATTTCTGCAGCAAATTATTGAGAAATTAACGAAATGGTGGCGTTTTATCCGAGAATATATAAAAAATTTGTGTGAGGTACTAGGGTCGACGTTCGATCGCAGTCCTTGGTAGGTCCGCAGCGATCGTATGGCAAAGTCCGTCTTGGCTTGAACGTTTGGCCCTTTCGAATTTTCTTATTTTTCGAAATCCGAAACCGAGGTGAATTTTGTATTTCTGCAGCGCGTATTACTTTCCTTAATTGGCTATCTAGTATCTACGCTAAATTTGATTTGATATAGCAATTTTGTTGGTTTGAAATTGTCGAAGTACGCATACATTGTATCCGAGTCAAATAAAATTATAGTTTTGCCTGACGCCTCTACCACATATTTCAGTAAAAATTAAGCTATCTGTCGTCACAGTTGTTCGAGGAGATTAAATGCGAAACAAATTAATTTGCCGATGTACGAGTTGGTCTCAGTTTCCATTCATTCACTAATAAATAACGATGTCAGTGATTTATGTCTATTATAGTAAATAGGCTTGTTACACCCACCTACATTTAGACATCCTGTCTTCAAACTACTCTATACACAATTTTTTGAAAGTATTAGAAATCCCACATACTTACGCGCCGTTTTATTTCGACAGTCGGGATTTGTACAAGAAAAATAAACTTGTTTTTCGTTCTTTTGTGTGTTATTTAGCACCAGAATAGTTCACCCTTGGCTAAATCCCGAAGTTATTGTAATAATTTTTTATCGGTAGCCTGGCGAGTTATTTCGGTGCTAACAGAGGTGGCCAAGTTCTCTTTCCGTCCTTGAAACTAATTTTTTTGTATATACGCGGTTGGTAAGTCGATAGACTGTCGGTAGTGTCGGTGTATTTTTTTTTATATAAAATTGGACGTTTACGGCATTTTTTGTTCACTGCGTGTTCTAATTTTCTCTAGTAGATTGCGAATTCGTTAGATAAATGGCGCCGTCTGATATACAGGGTGTTTACGAACTTGGAAAGGACATATCCGCCAATCAAAGTGCGAACATTCGATTGGCTGATATATTTTTTGCAAATAAAATGAATTTTTTAATACCACATTGATTCGATGACGACTTTTGTTCGTCCTTGAATATTCGGACATTATCGCAAATAAAGGTGTGCCGTTATCTCGCAATTGTTATGAAACGGGGGAAAGAAGCGGACGATATGCCATCTTCGGACGCAACTATTCACCTCCTTTTTTGTAGTATGTAGCNTCAGTAAAAATTAAGCTATCTGTCGGCACAGTTGTTCGAGGAGATTAAATGCGAAACAAATTAATTTGCCGTTGTACGCGTTGGTCTCAGTTTCCATTCATTCACTAATAAATAACGATGTCAGTGATTTATGTCTCTATTATAGTAAATAGGCTTGTTACACCCACCTACATTTAGACATCCTGTCTTCGAACTACTCCAAACACAATTTTTTGAAAGTATTGTAGAAATCCCACATACTTACGCGCCGTTTTATTTCGACAGTCGGGATTTGTACAAGAAAAATAAACTTGTTTTTCGTTCTTTTGTGTGTTATTTAGCACCAGAATAGTTCACCCTTGGCTAAATCCCGAAGTTATTGTAATAATTTTTTATCGGTAGCCTGGCGAGTTATTTCGGTGCTAACAGAGGTGGCCAAGTTCTCTTCCCGTCCTTGGAACTAAATTTTTTTTATATACGCGGTTGGTAAGTCGATAGACTGTCGGTGTATTTTTTTTATATAAAATTGGACGTTTACGGCATTTTTTGTTCACTGCGTGTTCTAATTTTCTCTGATAGATTGCGAATTCGTTAGATAAATGGCGCCGTCTGTTATACAGGGTGTTTACGAACTTGGGAAGGACATATCCGCCAATCAAAGTGCGAAAATTCGATTGGCTGATATATTTTTTGCAAATAAAATGAATTTTTTAATACCACATTGATTCGATGACGACTTTTGTTCGTCCTTGAATATTCGGACATTATCGCAAATAAAGGTGTGCCGTTATCTCGCAATTGTTATGAAACGGGGGAAAGAAGCGGACGATATGCCATCTTCGGACGCAACTATTCACCTCCTTTTTTGTAGTATGTAGCACGGTGACGATTCCAGAAGTTCCCAACAAGTTTGAACTATTTCGATAAAAAGTCCTCTTCAAGTTAGTAAACACCTAGTCCTTGTATTAGCAGCGCCAGTCACCACTGCTTTGGTTGCCAAATTATTTAAAATTGGCTATATTACATGTTGTATCTTGTAATACCCCGCGTAAGAGAAACTTTAGTGTCATTTGTTTAGAAATAACCCATTTTTCTTTACTTTATATTCATTTTCAAAAAAATTGCTTTGCTTTACAGCTGCCACAAATATAAAGTGAAGGTCCGGAAAAAAATTAGTTCTGTCATCGAAATTTTGTTAAAATACTGTTTGTTATTTTCAACAAGTTACTAAATAACTAAAAAAAAAAACTACGAACTACTCAATAATGTTTGACATGAAACATATCTAAAGCGAAGGTTGTTGACCGAATTTGTTTTTGCTCTTATTTTTGTCATGTTACCTTGATTCGGTAAAATGCACCAAAATTGTTTTTTTTTCTCCAGCGGATTCGAGGAAGATCAAAAGGACGATTCAAAGCAAACTGTGGACGACCAAGATCTGAAGGAAACGGTGAGTAATTCTATATTTATAATCTTCAACCTTTACGCGTTGAACAGTGAGCTGCGAGATGTACTGCTCGGAAAAACAAAACTTTATTGTTCCACTACACTCGTGGATGTATTTTTAGTGGATAACGGGCCGAGAATAAATCTATCCAGGTAGTGTTTTGCTAAAATTCGTAAAGGTGCGTGCAAATTTCTCGAAAGGAATAAAAAAATTTGACACTTCTTGGATAACTTTTATTGCAGTTGTAATAAAACGCTTTGTTTTATCGTTTTTGGTTGTACATGCAACTAGGAAGTACTGCTTTTGTCTTGGAAAAGGTTTTATTTCAAGCCAAATGTTATAGGGCGTCCTTTAATTCGATTAGGATACGTGGATACGTATTTTTTGTAGACTAAAAGCAACAGAAGCTGTACACTTTGCGTGGCGCGACCGGGCTCGGCGAGGCGCGGCCGGGCTCGGCGTGGCGCGGCCGGGCTCGGCGTGGCGCGACCTGGCTCGGCGTGGCTCGGCGTGGCGCGACCGGGCTCGGCGTGGCGCGGCCGGGCTCGGAGGGGCGCGGTTGGGCTCGGCGCGACGTGGCATGGCGTGTCGTGATCTAATGCGTGTGGGTACGTGTATGTCACACGCGCGAAATGGTTTATGCTTTCCAAAAATCTGAAAAAAATAAATATTACTTTTTACATACAAAGTCCAGTGAATGAAGAAGCACATTGCTGCCAAAATATGGTACTTTTTATTTTCAAAAGGCGTTTGAAAATTAGTTCATCTGGGAAACCCACTCCCCCTTTGTCACTAAACTGTCGTTTTATATTTTTTAACGTTTCTTTCGAAAAATCTTGTGTTGCGAAACTCTTGTGTGTACATTTTCTTAAACGTTCGGTATCACAGCCGGTATTTTTAGCAAACGGGAACGCTTCTTCTTGAATGACATATCCGTTAATGATACAACTGTCTCCAGCTGTCTTCCACGGCCTAATTTCATTGGATGTTGGATATCCGGTGATTGTTTAGTCGGTCGATCTATAATGATCGTTCTAGGCAGACAGATGCGGGCCCAAGACCCTCTACAACAAAACAACATAACGAAAAATAAATACGATTCCATGTGCGATGTTTTGGAGGATCTAGGCATAAGAAAATACTGTTGGGACCTCTTTATTACTGTTTCCCAACCTTTTTAAGTACCGATTTCCATCTGCAGTCGTAAATAATCGTAAAATTTACAAATTGCAGCTTCTAACTAGATGAGAAATGTAAACTAACACATAATATTGTTCGGTACAGTTGTCGCTCGCTCGCGAACAAATCGAAAGCTCGTAAAATTTGGGTCTTTATTGCCAATAAACCGCAAGTATTATTCAGTGAGTAGATTTCGGAAATAACATTTATTGTAGCTAAATATACATTTGTTGGCGCTTGTATCTCCTTTTAGTTAAGGAATTTCAGAGAAAAGTTCTGTGGAGAACAATGATTGATAATAATTCTATTTCGCATTGAGGCAATCGCAGATATCTTTTTTAACATCGAGCAATAATAAATTTACTTCTGACAAATGACTGAAAAATTTTCAGCCGGTTTAAATATAGACCTAACGCTCATTCCAGTATTATGAATCACGTCAACGATGAGGAATTAGAATAAAATAAACTTTGTTTACGGTTTATATTTTCTCTTTTTCGAATTGTGAATGAATCGAGTCATTAACTGAAGTATATGCGTAATTCATGTGTTTTATAGTAGGGACATTTTCTTGACCGGTTCTGCTTGTTAGAAAAAGTCGATAGGGTTGAGATTTGGCGGTGTGGCTGGTCACTTTAATTCGCAAATTCCGTAATTTTTTTCTCCCAGAAAACAGCTACGACCTTTTTAATTACGTCGTTTTCTAGGATGTAGGACTTTTCCAATGTTAAATTTCGTTTGGGTATCGAGAACTTTTCTTGGGCAACAGCATGTGACTCGATATATAATGTCCGTTATGCGTCATCGAGTTGAAATATATAAATATCTGGGCAAAGTATGCGTAAACAGCCATCCATTCAGTTTCGAAAAAGACATCTTTTTTACGAAAACGGCGTATTGTTTGCGCCGAACACAAACAATTTTACGTACGAATATACATCTTCAATCCCGCAACGTGCCTGACAAAGAGGATGCTATTCTTATAGAACACACGCCATTCAAACTATTAATAGAAAATATAAAAAAAAAATAAGAAACTTTTTATTAAGAAAAAAACATTTTTAGCGACTACAAAAAGTTTTTGCGAGCTTTTTATTGGAGTTTCGTTATAATAAGAAATCGGGTACAGTTTCGTAAAAGCGGTATTATTTATTAAAACTGCACGAAAAATCGCACTCAGATTCACTTTTCACAGCAGTGTTTAATCTCGGTCGGTGATAAATATGTTGCGAACTAATAAATTAGCAAAGAACATCAATTGCCGCCAACATCTGTGTTTTAGAGCGTAATTAATTTATTTCGCGTAGTTTTACTCTATCTCTCTGGCTCCCGATAATATTTATAGTCCAAGCATTATAGAGAAATGCTTACTGAAATTATTACCTGGACAAAAAAAATATGACCGTATAGAAAATTAAATTTTCTGTTGAGTTTCTTGTTCTTTAAACTCGATCCAATATGGCGAACATGGTTAAAAAAAATCGCAAAGTTGAAAAAACGGTTTTTCTAAAATAACTAAAAAAATATAGCACGGATTGAAAAATTTTAAATGAGAAAGTTGTAGGTTTTAAAAAGATCTATCGACTGATTTTTTGAAAGTATCGATTGCTTTGTTACTTTTCGAGATATATCGAAAAAACCGTTAAAAATCTTCTCTTTTCTCTTCTTCTATAACTCGTTTACATTTACGTGCCCATATTTGCTATTTACTGCAAGCATAGCCCGCGGCAAGCCAAAAAAGTACATTTTTGAAAAATTTAAAAATATTAATTATTTTTCGAGATATATCGATTTTTTGAAAAAAAGGCGCTCTCGAAAATTGGCTAGATCTTCTCAGCGGATAGCCCTACAGTAACGATTTTCGGTTTATTTTCTTCGTAAAGAGTTATATTATCATGCTGTTAAAAAATGTTGACGATTTTATTAATTTTAAGGATCAAAAAATGACTGAAAAAGTTGCACTTTTTTTGGGTATGTTTTTTTCAAATAACTATTTCAATTTTTATTATTTTTTTGTACTTAATCTGGGGTAGCTAAACACGAATATTATAGCATTTTCGCCTTAGAAGCAAAATAGACCCGTAAATGTTTAGTTTTCTTTCTTTAAAAGTCATTTTCATAAAATAAAAATTGAAATAGTAATTTGAAAAAAACATACCCAAAAAAGTGCAACTTATTCAAAGTCATTTTTTGATCCTTAAAATTAATAAAATCGTCAACATTTTTTAACAGCATGATAATATAACTCTTTACGAAGAAAATAAACCGAAAATCGTTACTGTAGGGCTATCCGCTGAGAAGATCTAGCCAATTTTCGAGAGCGCCTTTTTTTCAAAAAATCGATATATCTCGAAAAATAATTAATATTTTTAAATTTTTCAAAAATGTACTTTTTTGGCTTGCCGCGGGCTATGCTTGCAGTAAATAGCAAATATGGGCACGTAAATGTAAACGAGTTATAGAAGAAGAGAAAAGAGAAGATTTTTAACGGTTTTTTCGATATATCTCGAAAAGTAACAAAGCAATCGATACTTTCAAAAAATCAGTCGATAGATCTTTTTAAAACCTACAACTTTCTCATTTAAAATTTTTCAATCCGTGCTATATTTTTTTAGTTATTTTAGAAAAACCGTTTTTTTCAACTTTGCGATTTTTTTTAACCATGTTCGCCATATTGGATCGAGTTTAAAGAACAAGAAACTCAATTTAAAATTTAATTTTCTATACGGTCATATTTTTTTTGTCCAGGTAATAATTTCTGCAAATTTAACATCAATCCGTGACAGAATTGCTTGGACTATTATTGGAATTATAAATAACGCGCAACGAAAATTTTCCATTCGCTCAAATCTCTTTTCAAACGCAAAAGAATGGTAAGCAACTGTCGGGAAGTAGGCGAATAATATAAATCTCCCCTCTATATCGTTATTATTGTAAGTAGAATTTGGGAGCAGCTTTGTTACAAATAGGCCATTATCACAGTCCATTTGGCAAATTTGGAACATTTTTTGTTGTGCAAGTTGTACAATTTCCGGTGAAATACAGAAATAATGTTAGATTTGATTTAACACAAATATCTTTTTTCGCTCTTTATAAAAACGGACATTTCAGTTTTTGACGAAAGTGGAAAGGTAACCACGTCGTATGCCAGATTAGGCTGTTGATTATGTCTTAAAAAGCAGAGTACTAAGGAACTATTGATGGATTTTTATTGCATGAATCGTTTAAATGGTTATACAGAAAGAAAAAACGTGGAGTGCTATTAAATTAGAGGGTGGAAATTGGAGATAGGGGTGAAAATGCAACCCTCACGGTTTTTTGAGTATATCTCGAAAACGAAACAAAATTTGAGGGTATTGCATAGGAAAAATTTTTGTAGATAATGAGATTTTCTATCGAAAAAAATTTATTTACTGCAAAATATATTAAAAAGAATTTAACAAAAAATGCAAAAAATTCTATTTTCTTGTTTTTTTAATTTTATGCAAATAACTTTTCTGAGCAGAGATAGGTATAGGCATTGCTTCATAGAAAGAAAAGTATATAAAATTTCCTACAAAATGATGGGTTATAAAAGTTTTTCGATGAAAATAGACTGACTTATGATCGTTCAACTTTGCCTTTTTTTCGGTTTTTACTGAATTTATGACAATATTGTTTTATTACTTATTTTTGAGTATGTAATTCATTTTTATTTAATAAAGACGTATGTTAAATTAATTTATCAATAATAAATAAAAGTTATATGGCTTTATATACAGGGTGTTGNTTTTTTTTTTTTACTTTTTTAATAAAATAATTTAGTAAAAACTTGAGAATTTAAG